TATGCAAGGATTCACCAAAAACATTAAATCAAGTCAGACTGAATTTGGAGACAGTTGCTTGCTGACATTCCCTAAACAAAGTATTTTTAAACATTAATAAAACTGCATGACTATTGAAAATTACTATAATAGTGTGCTAATTAAAAGTTAATGAACAAAATAGAAAAAATTCGTGAATATACTTGATTATAATGGAACAACCATATTGAGTACATAATTAAAAGAACTGAATACTTAATATTCATTATCATGAAACTTTTCAAGATTATCCAAATGAGAAAGTTAATAGTAATTCCTTAATATATTTTATTTAGTCAAAACATCATTGGTTTACACTATTAATGGACAAACTGAGATTAATACATAGGATGAAAGAATACTAGAAATAGAACAACAGACAAATGCTCAATGACTATGAAAACACAAAGGAAAAGTTTCTTTCTTAACAAGCCCTATCCACCCTTGGCCGATATTATATTTACCTTTCTTCAGAACAATTTACAGAACATTTACTCTTCAACGATACTTTATCACAATTATTTGTTTACTTTATGTCGTAGAATTGAAGGCGTATGAGATAAATTTCAAAGTTCGTCATACAGTTTAACTATAACCTGACAAGTTCACTTTTATTCATTTATCTCATTTTTCTTATTATATTAATACAGTTGTTATATCATAAGACTATAAATCTATATGTATGTATATTCCATTGATTTCATTCCTCGGTCGCTTCGTTTTGTTTCTCAATCAGCAGAGACCGTTGCGAGTATGTGTCGATGTACATGATCATTTTTTCACAGTTCAACAACGGGGCGAGGTTTCACGGTGCAGCGAAACGCGACAAGAATTAAATTTATCGAGATCCGATTGAGATATAACTGCGAACAATCATTAGTGCCTGGGCTTGTAATGAGTATGAGTGGGTACTGGAAGCGCACCGATGGCGTACAAATAAATCCTTACTCGGCGGTATTTGTTAAATCAACCAAATTATTCCATTAAATCGCAGCCCTACCATGGCTGATCGCGTTTGCGATCAATTATAATGATTTGAATCACGACGGTGGACAAAATTCCGTTCAATATTTTACATTTTTCATAATTCTATAAACAGGGTTCTCAAATAGGAGGTATGTACAATTTATGTTTTCTCTTCTGCCACTAACATTTAATCTATTTAGTAGCAGTGGTGGAGGACCACATCTGAGAACTCTATTTATGGATAGTAGAAATATTTTCTGAATATCGATTCATCTAATGGTGTAATCATGGAAGCGTATCGATAACTTTAATATGTTACTCATTTATTTCAGTCGTTGCCTATCGGCTTTGGACGGACTTTGTTACAAGGTTTTCTCTGTTTGCGTAATACTACAATAGTATACATTTATTTTTCGCTTATCTATTTTTCTTATGTCCTCTACTTATGCTAAGGTAAAAAATAAACTCTCTTTTTTTACGTCAACGTCTTTCTATAACTCGAAAATAGGTGAAATGGTTCTTCGATGGTGTTTTCAGCAGCAGTACAATTTATTACAGTAAACTCGTATCACCTTAAACGCTACTTGCTATTTTTAGAACTCGTCGTCCAATGAATAAATTCGAATTTCGTTGGCAATTTATCATTCTTAATGTAGTATTGATCACTCTTCTTAGCAATATTTCTACTAAAGCGAATTCCTCTGGGTATCAAATTCCGAGCTCGAATCTTTGGTAACGATCTTCAAAGTTCGTGTTGGAAAGATTCCTCGGGAAAGATAAATGTTGATAATTAAACTCCCGGATGAGGTCATCCGACGGGTTGTACGAGCACCGCGACTGGGTAAACGACATTCATTATGTATCGTTCGTTCGTCCATTGTTTATTCTCAGCAACATACATTTTCCTTGAACACCTGATATATATCCGCTGTACTGACATTAGAGACTAGCATCTCTATCACGGCTTCGTCCTAATTTATCGTTAATTTATTTATAACTTATAATTTTTGATAAATAACACTACGATGTGTCAAACACGTAAAAGAAATTCGAACATTCATAAAAACACATCGTACCTCTCTTCAACCGTTTTATTTAGAAGAGTATTATCAAGAACTAATTTTTACATAGATCATTTTATAATCTTCTAAAATACAAATCTAATCAATAAATGAAATATTGTACGAGAGACTTGAAAATTCATAAAAACACATTTCACCTCTTTTCACACCATCGAGATAAAATTCTGAGAAAGTCATTCCTAATGGGTCCTCGCATTATAAAAATAGTGTCCACCGATGTTTCTAGGACCAGTGGATGAGAGTAAGCGTTGATATATGTGTATGTAAATCAGTCAGAACACCTTATAAAATATTTAAAAGATGATTAGGATAAAATCTGGAAATTTATTTCTGGTATGGGTATAATTTTCATAAATAAAAACTACGTCGCTAACTTAAGGAACTTAAAAAATATTGAAGGGTTTGTGAATATGCATTTAACCTCTTTCCATATCCTTAGAGGATGTTTGGATTAAACTCCTGATATTAATTTTTAGATATCTGTCTGAATAATCTTTGTAAACGAAAACCTCAACGATGCAGACTTCAACGATGTTAAAAAAGTACATTAACCCCTTTTCACCCCCTTAGGGGGTGATTGGGATTAAATTCCTTCTTAGTGCTCCCTTATGTCATAAAAGTTACATGTATGTACGTACATCAAATATGAAGATTCTATGTAGCTTTAAGAGTTTTATGTGTTGGTGAGAGAGTAAAGCATCAGCTACAGACCTGTGCAACATCGCTCGCGCATAAGTGCGCAGAGTTTACGCGGCCAAAATACGTTCAAATACAATACGTCGAATGCACGTGCGTGCACCGCATAAAATCCACTTGAAAAGGTCGATTTTTATGACCGGGCGCGTTCGAAACCCAAGTTTTGTTCATGCTCGCTAGCTCAACCGATGAACAACGCGAATGCTCGCACCGATCCACGGAATTTTCACATTTTGCACATTTCAATAATTTTTTAGCCAACGTAAGTTGATGCAAATGAATCGGGAAAACGTTCCCACTATTTTCTTGCTTTGTTTTTCTGCGAAGAAACTACATACATACTATTATTATTGTGCATGTAACTGTTCGCTGGATTATGTATAGTGAAATTTACTTATGAAGAAGTCTTGATTATGAAAGACTTTTTTAATATCCTTACCAGATTTTTGATAATTTTCGAGATGTGGCACTTACAAAACTGATTTCCAAAAGAAAATGTTCGCGCGTCTCAGGAGCATGAATGGCGATCCGATTCATGTCTCAAGTGATTCATGTCACTATCTCTGAAGTTATTATGACGAGTCTAGACTTCCAAAACTCCAGGTCCAAAAATCATTGTCAACATACGCTAATCGACGAGCCCGTATTTCTTTTCTATCTGCCGTTTTTCCTTTTCTTTTCATTCTTACCATGCGCGCGAGCATTCGTGTGTGCGACTTGTTAGTTCGTTCATCCTTTGGTGTACGCTAGATTGTAAAAAGGTTCTTTCAAATGGATTTTCCGCGGATGAGTGGCCGCGCATTGCATAGATCTATGTATAGCCGGCTTGCATGTAAAGATAAATATTTTGTTGTACTGCCCGATTTGCATACTATATTTGCTTATAAGTATCAGTCTTTATTTTTAGCTGCCATTACATTGAAAACCCTTGCCAATTCTGTTGAAGCTGGAGACGGAGCGGAATGAATGCAATAGGGAAAACTGTTGTTAACGTGTGGTTTATTCTAGTAATGTAAAAGAGAACGTGCTGAACGTCTTGGAGTCTTGGGTATAGTTAATCAATAACGGGAGGGAAGGGATATAAACCAAAGAAAGGGCCGTTAATAAAAGAGGGCCGTTATCTATGGTGTGGTGGTAAGGGTTCTGCAGTACGACACGATAAAAAAGAAACTATTTCATCAAATTCTTTTACTAGAGGCATTTCAGTTCTCCATAATTTCTTATATTAAGTTCTGCACTCTACTATAATAGTAAGTACTACTGATAATTATAATTATTTATATGAATTTATATCGAACATTAGATACTAGTTTTCACCCAGAATTCCCAAAAAATTAATCCGTTTAAAATCATTTTCAAATCGGGAACGTGTTGAAAATCACGTGTCGAATTGCAGAATATTTTTCAGGCCACGATTCACTTAATTACCGTTTATTCATCCGTTGCACCCGGTCCTTTATGTTCACGCTTGTTTACACGCTACATACACGTGCCTCGTCGCTCACCAACGCGAATTAATTACGGATTTCAAGTGACACATCAAATTACTCTAATTAATTAATTCATTACAATGTGCCCGAACATACAGGTATTTGTTTCACGCGATAGCTAACCTTGATCTAGCTAATACCTTCAGCATTATTCATTTGAACGAATATGGATGGCACCTAAGCGTGCATTGACAATCTGTAAAAACTGACCTACTCCTTGTTGTAAGAAAAATAATTCTATACATTCTTCAAAAATTCTACGTTGTTATTTGGAATGTTTGACGCCTACAGAAATCACTTTTGCGTAAAACATTTTCGATGAGTTATTCTTCTGTACATCACTAAGTTCGTTATGACTCCCTTTCATCTATTTTATCGTTAATGTGTGAAATCCATTCATTCATGAAATAATTATACCAAAACGTTTAATTATTTTATGTAATAGTTATTTCATAAATTGAGTGAATGATTAGACCCTCTAACGGTAATACATATAAATAGTATATACCTTCTCTATTTATACTTATATTGGATCTGTACCAATTTTTGAGGCGCAAATGAACTCAGACAGTCTAGAAAAGATTTAGGAGTCAAATGAAACGGGAAAAGGAATAATGAAGGAAGAGTGAGGGAGAAAGAGAAAGAGGAGGGGTACTTCGTTGAACTTTAATCATCCAGCAAGATCATGTAGCTACGAATGGAGGACGTTTATTGGTAAGATAAGGACGGAGAGCAATATACTACTTACGAGGTCCCCATTCAGTCTCCATGTAATTGCGGAGGCGGGCCTCGAGTTGCCTGTGGTGCAATTCGCCTGAAGCAGCTCACCCATCGAGATTCTCTCCTTCTGAACGTCGATCGTTGGATCCGATTTTGGTGCATCTGAGACAAAATAGTTGGAAAATTTAATAAGCACGAGTACTACTCTATGTCTCGTTAATTTGAAAATATTAAAATTCGATACATTTATACGACTAATCTCAAGCTTTCCTTATTAATCGAATTTAAACAATCATAAAAAAATATTATTCTTAAGTTGTATTCTTCAAAGAAAAGTCATCTCACTTATCTCAAAAATTTGCTGTTGGTTTAAAAGTGTAATAAACAAATCATCAGTTCCATTTTAGTACGTGTATGTCTACGAGTCAAGATATTAGATTTGCTAACTATATGTATATGTATAAGGTACCCTAGAAGTACTACTATGCCTGAAAATGTGAGGTACCTGAGGTGATTTTAAACAACATTTTGACAAAGAAAAATATTGTTTATAATCACCTCAAGAACCTCCCATTAAAAAATATAGCATCAGTTCTGTGTACGTAATCCTTAAACGTCATAAGATTCTCTTTAGTGCGTCGATGATGATACAATCAGCAAACTTCATCGTAGTGTTCTTAGCAAGCGTGAAAAAGTTTTTTTTAGAACAGTAACAGAATGTTAAATCTTTCCGAAGCTCTCAGCAAATCCGAGTGGAAAATGGATCGTACGTAGAAGTGCAGGTGCACGTGCACTGAATTACGGAACGCAGCGCAAATTCACTAGGGAAAGAGATTACCTCCCCAGTAGAATGTTTTCAGTTCTAGACTTCTTCACTCACCTACCACTTCCATCCTGGACCTCTCGATTAGCGTGTGATACGTCGGGCTGCCTGCCGACACTTCACATTTGTACATTCCCGTCAGCTTCCTCGATACATTGACCAGCGTCACGTCGAACGAATTCGATTTGGAAACCTGTCGAACAGTAGAAACGTAGAAACGTAGATTGGGGAGATATATTAAATATACTTTCGCAAAATATATTTCTAAAATTTTTATTTTTTTTAATTCCAAGATTACATTGATCTCGTGATACTTTGCGAAGCCTCCCGATTTTAACAGAGAATTCAGAACTTTCGAAGGACCATGAATCTTTAGTTTTTCTCAATGAAATACGAAGTTGCAATGTTCATTAATTCGTTCGTCTTCATACCCTAAGCGTAACCCGTATTTTTTCAAATAAGGTCTAGTGCAAAAGTTTTTAGTCATCCTTATAGTATGTAAAAATTTGCATTAATAGAGCCATCACGAGTTCCCTTTTTTGTTGGTTAATTATTCGCATAAGACGTTTCTTAAAGAAGAGATTTTGTCGAACGTAATTTATTAGAATATTGCCAGAAGTGCATCAGCCTCAGAGAACACGCGTGTGTGAATGAGCTTTGCGCTTCTTCGGCGTTGACACGTGATTGCCGTGAATAAGTTACATGTACCATTTGTTGCCACTTCGAAAGTTTCTGTATAATTTAGTAACGTACAACTAGTAACAAAGTAGATACAAAAAAGATGTAGAGTATATCAGTGAAATCCTAAATATACAGATAATCAAAATATTATAACGTTCACACTGCTCGAAAAATAATAATTGAAAAATTTATTGCATTATCGGATCTTTTACACCTATGGCCACAAAAGTATAAAGTTAAAACAAAATCTACAAAGAAATGGACGATAATTGAATGATGCCCATAACTCACGAAATTTTTGTATATGAACTTCATGTTGGAAAACTTCAATTACGTATAACTTTCATCTGATATTAGACAAAAGTCTAAGAATATTGTTATGTTTAGGTAGCAAGTAGATAATAAATTCTCATTAATAAAAAACAGAAGTATGTGACGTGGAACCATGAAAAATCGAAATGGTCTGAAATTCTGACATCAGAATGGCAGATCATTTTCATAATTATTTCTTTTGAAGAGGCACCAAATAATTCATACTAGGTATCCAATAATATTAAATATTATACTAAATGCCTGGAATACGATTACTCGAATATTACATTTGATTCAACCATTCTGATGGACATGAATGTCCAGATAGATAAATTGACAAATTATAGAAGTACTAAAATCATCTTATCATTCGGAAAATTTAACAAAAATCCAACGAACATAATTTCTGTTGCTTATAAATAACAGTATTGAATTTGTACACATCAAACTATCCAACATTCTTTTAAAATTGCATCACTTATTATTAGAATCAGTTCGAACTCTTAAAAGGCGAAAATAGCGACGGGAATTTTATTCGAACTTTTAGCTTTTTGTGCGTTGAATGCACGAAACCAAGAAACGATTTCGGGAATGACGCGTCGGTTTAATTTGGAGCGAGAAAGGATCGCAAACGACGCGATAGGTAAGTTACTGGGTTGAAACATTGAGGATACTTTTATCATATACGAACATTCGAATCGCTAGGAATTTGATAGCGACTACCACCAACTTTTGTTCTGGGTTATTCCCCCTTCTATGGCTTCGAAATATTGTTCTGCCAAAAGTTGTGACTCTGTTTACTGAGGTTGGGTAAATACTTAAATACATTATCCTGATTACTCTGTGTGAGTAAAATTTGCATGATTCTTGCTCTGTTTTATCGATAAGCAGACAAAAATAGTGCAAAATATGGATTTACGGAACTACACTTTTCATTCTTGTATGAGAAGATTTTCCTTTTTCCTTATTTCTTAGTCATTTTTTAATGAAATTTTTGGGTCGTCAAGTACCTCTTTTAAAAGACGAAAGTCAAATCTAGCATACTCTGGTATTGATTTCATTTAAAACAAAATTGCATATAAACAATGGTATTGTAATTGCAATTTTTCATTTATTTTGTGACGTTCAAATTACTAAATATCAGCAAATTTTGATTAAAGCATGACTAGAGCATGCTAGATTTAACTTTTCTCTTTCCAAAGGGGTACCTGACGACCCAAGTATTTCCTTAAATAAGGACGAAAAATGTAGCCCCGTAAAACAATATTTTTGGCTAATCTTGTGGGTAACATTAAGATTCTGCCTTATTGCTCCGCTGTTCAAGTCCATCTCCTTAGCGAAAAGCTGAGAAGTGCCACGAGAGCAGCGAAAATGTGACAATTCCCTATTCAAATAATTTTTACAAGTCATTTGCGATTTACTGCGTATATTACGTAATGGAATCCTATATGAAAATGTTTACAAGTTTGAAAGACATTTCCTGTTCTATTTATTTTATATGTTTATTAGTTTAAAATTATTGAAAAATAAGTCAAAGCGTAGAACTTGGGACATTAACGATATTTACACTACTTTTGCACTAAACAGAATAAGGGTTCAGTTTTCTAGATGTGGCGTAAAGCAAAAAAATTACTTTTGTGTTGATCGATTCAATTGTAATTTCCACTTAATATTTTATGTGATTAAGGAAACAACTTATTCTAAGAATTTTTTTAATATTTTCTCTGATAAAATACATACATTTACGTGAACCCCATCGATATTGAATGTGCTATACGGCGGCTCTCGCTCCGGTAGGTACCGATAGAATTCTGCTTCTTCGCGATACCATTGTATCGTGTACAATGGCAATCCCTCTAAATCATAGTTACAGGACAGTGTCACTGTGTCACCGGATCGCACCACGGCTGGCACGTTGATTTTCAAATCTTTTAGTCCCGTCGCGCCTGCAACATACAATTAGAAATCATTAAACGTTTTTATTCTGTTCCTTAAAACATCATTATTAATTTTTCTCAATAGTGTAAAACAGTTTCTGCTTTGAGAAGCATTGACTTTTAGAAACATTGTAATCTATTAAAAATATTCATTTGGTAGTATTAACATTAACTCTCTGTGTGCAATGTTATTTGCATTAATTCCGTTTGCATGCTGGATCGTCAAGTTCATACATTTTTTTTCAAGTGTTTGTTTTAAGATTACCCAACAAATTTTTAAATATTTAACGATGTTCCTAGTACATCATTCAATAGTTTTTATTGTGATATAGGGGTCAATGTAGAAATCGATCATCGATGATAGGATTGACCATTCTTCTTGTTGGTCCGAGAGGGATTCTTGGGAAAATTCGGGAAAATTGTATATCACGTCATTCATAAGGAGAAACATGTAAAAGAAATAAAAGTTAGTCGTTAACAAATTGTTAAGCATTAATAATCGAGTTATTATACATATATAAGACGTTACGTTTAATTTGGCATTGTTATTTAATATTTGGAACCTTTTTGTTCATCTCTGTATTAAAAAATTCATTTAAACTGCACATTTCATGTTACATGCTACCGTAAAATTTTTAAACAAGAGAAAATTGAAACAAAAATATAGGAAATATGAAAAATGATCGGGATTGAAATCGATCCAGTATACAGATGAGTGATATAGGGGTCAATGTAGAAATCGATCATCGATGATAGGATTGACCATTCTTCTTGTTGGTCCGAGAGGGATTCTTGGGAAAATTCGGGAAAATTGTATATCACGTCATTCATAAGGAGAAACATGTAAAAGAAATAAAAGTTAGTCGTTAACAAATTGTTAAGCATTAATAATCGAGTTATTATACATATATAAGACGTTACGTTTAATTTGGCATTGTTATTTAATATTTGGAACCTTTTTGTTCATCTCTGTATTAAAAAATTCATTTAAACTGCACATTTCATGTTACATGCTACCGTAAAATTTTTAAACAAGAGAAAATTGAAACAAAAATATAGGAAATATGAAAAATGATCGGGATTGAAATCGATCCAGTATACAGATGGAGGGTTAATAAAAACATACTGTAATTATGTTTAAAAAGTTTTACGTTCGATAGAGTGACAAATTAATAATGGTTTAAATCAGTTAAGAAACTGAATGAAGACTGCTACATCACGTTTGTTTCGTGAAGATAATATGACACTGGGATAAATGTGTGAAGATGTTCGAGAGAAAAGCATCAAACGACAAAAGTTGGTCATTTTATGCTTTTGTAATTAACCGGCAAGTGGAGATACGGTATGTTTGAACTGGCTAGGGTGGTTTATGAGGCGAGGTTTATCGCAAAACGTTATAGGTATATCACCCGTCCTTGTTCACGCTATATTCTTTAAAGAAGCAGTAACTGCGGCGGGAAAACGTTAAAATTCAAGTTATTACCCCGTTTTAAACGTCATTAAGAATTTTCTTACGAGCTGGTTTCAATGAAACGTGGTTGTTTTAAAGCGATAAGTTAAGAGTCATAACGTCGAGAGAAATGATGCGATCGTGTCGAGACTTTCCGTGACGCCGCTTTAAAGTGAAATTAAATCCTAGTTATACAATTCTATTGCAATAAACTTGCTATTAGTAAATGAAATCCTGTGATAGTAATCGAACGATAACAATTAATTTATTCAATCAGTGTCTGAGCGTTCGTCGAGATTGTTCTCAAAAAACAGACCCGATATGTATCATCGAATCGTTCTCTTCGGAGAAACGAGTAGTATCGAAATGTTTGGAGGGAAGGGATGTGTCGCTTTTGCTTCAACCAAGCAGTGAGCAAGGCACTTCGGGCGCAACTGGCAGAATGGTGCGTCTTGTACTGTGTAGACGGGTTCAATGGTTTTTTCCGCGACTATGAAAATTTGGACCCGGTTGGTAAAATTCATACGATATCTGACGTTCCCGACGACGTCTGGACGTCTTCTTGCACGGGTGACTCGGATGGAATCTGGTTTTTGAATTACCAATGGAAATTGCTTCCCGAAAACATTCCGGTGTCACGCGGTTAATTAATCGCTGACGAGCACTCAACCTTCGTGTACACGATACCACCCTTATCACAAGCGACACACTCACACAACCACCCGTACTTCATTCAATTCAAATTTCAAGGGTTTTCTATGCCTTCGAGCTTTTCCCTGTATCTAAATCAATAGTCGATCACCAAAATCATTATTACTCACTCCGAACAGTTCGAACTTAGTTATCTTCCAAACCGTTCCCACCACTTTTTCACATCCAAAAGTCATTTTTCCCAAAACCATTATATAGCCCTACTTTCCCGTCCTTAGGCAGTTTTAGTCTCAATCTCGTCATATTGTACTGTAATAAAGTTCTGATTTCCACGCAACGTGACCTTTAATTGTTAATCTTTGAGTGATTCCTCAAATCTTGTATGTATTCAACCTCGAGGAGTTGAACCATAACCGAGTATCATGGTACAATTGGTATCGGTCTAGTAAAAGTAGTACTAATAGATCATGTAGCACCATGTAAGAAAAACAAGACAAAATTCAAATATATCGATACTTTAGGTACTTAATATCTATATTTAATTTTCCTCTTTTTTTGTTGTTTGCAATAACATCAAACAAATTATTCACGAAAGGTGTTGCGTAGTTATTTTTATTCTTGATGATAGCACTGCAGATCGCTGCACGGAGAGAAATGTATTAGCTACCAACGTTTAGGAATAGAAGTATCCACTCGTGCCACTATAGCATAGAATATACCTATGCACTCTTCTCACGGTTGACTAGCCGTTTACGCACGAGCTTTGTATCAAAAACGCTCGCCCCTCCACCATGCACAATTTGCTCGGGTCCCATGCTTTCATGGGATGAGTTTCAAGCAACTGCGACTGCGAGTTTGCCGCCATTGTGAGCTACGGCATCGCACGTGCGTTAGATTCTCAGGCGTTCCAAGTTCTTTGTGTTTTACAAATAAAAGTGAGAAGTATTTCAACATTATTTGTGCTGTTATTGAGGTAAGTTTAATAATATAATATTTAACAGTCTAGATTAGCGTAACGTACATTGCCATTAAATTCGAAAATGGAATAATTTTCCGAACCATTTTACCA